AAATATGGGTTCAGGGAACATTTTTCAAATTTTTTTTTCAATTTTTTCTTTGTTTTTGTTTATTGAAAAAACAGTTGAGGATTCTAAACACATCGGTGGCATTCGATGACAAACTGCTGGAAACATATGTTCTTGGCACAATACGCGCATTTGACCATTGACAATCTTTTGCACCCAGATAATTGGCACTTTCCATAAACTTTCCGGTCGAAGCAATATTGAATTGGTCTGTCACATTTTGGAGCGCAACTGTTCACATAACCGCCAGAATACCAGGCATACTGTCTCCATTCTTGGAAGATGGGAGAGCACATCTGCCAATATGCTTGGCTCAGCATCTGCAATCAAAAAATGAGGGACGTTTTCAGAAACTTCAGAAACTTTGATGATAGAATCTCGTTGATGTGGCTTAAAGTCCTTCTCTTTTCTTTGCGCATATTCCGTCAAGTTCTTCATGAACTTCTTGAATTGACGGAATTTGCCAATGTTTAGTAGCTGGATTTGTCCTGTCGCTCCAGGCGGAATGATAAACAAAAAAAATTGAAAAAAAAAATTGAAAAATCTTCGGTGAACCCATGAGCATATTTGTGAATTTCTTCAAAAATTAAATGTTTGTTTTTATTCTGGAAAATGCCTATTCATAACGAGAAACTCCCGAAAAACATTGCGTAAATTTTATTCCAGAGCCAGTTATGGCAGCTTAAAATAAAACAAAAAAATTTTGCAAAATTTTTGGGATCGGGAGAATCGAACCTACAACCTTCCTCCTCTGAACTTGCGATTTTACCACTTTACCACACTGCTGATTGAAATCTATTGTTTTGAAAAAAATACACTATTCCGTGAAAAACATTTCACGAGAAATTGCTTAATCATAGGGAAACTTTTCTAAATCATAACTCAGCTCACGTGAGCATTTTGCTGATTTTTTTAACAGATTTGGAATCCTCATAAGCTCTTCTATCTGCTCCCAAAATTTCAAAAAAAAGTTAAACCTGCTAATATTTTGAAAGTTTTATTTTTTCAGAAGCTGTTGGATGATCAATCAAGAGTTACTAATGGTAACTCTGGAATCGACAATTTTGTAATTCAAATTATTTATGTGCTGGCTCACCTAAATAACAGAATCCTGATACACAATGGTCCACATGACCTACAGTAAGAAAACATCTTTTTCTTTTGTATCTACTCTTTTCAGAGTTTCCCTAATCACCTCTCACTATTGCTTTCCTGGATTTCAATTTCAAACTGATCTTCCGGTTTCAAATCATTTTTGAAAAGTCACAAGAATCCAAGTCGCCTCCTGCACACTATCACCCGGAAATTGGCTCCATTTCCTATTGCCTCAATGGGTTTCCGAATTTCAACTACTTTTCCTTGGATGATAACAATATGTAATCTTGCCCTATTAAAAGAGGAAAAACAATTTATTTTAATTTTTTAATTTCCTTTTCTGATCTATTAAGTTTCGTTTTTTTCTGCTCCCAGTTCTGAAAATTCTCAATTCGGTTAAAAAAAATAAATATGTATCTTGATCCTCCGATTCCTCCCAGGTACTCGGTTAGCTCTCCACGTAGGTGGTTCCTCACACTATTCCTATATTTCTTTTTTCACATAATCACAAGGTTTCAGAAGAAGAGAAAACAGGTGACCCGTGGGAACAAAAAATATTCTACACTAAATCTGGAAAAATTTTAAGCTAACTAGTTACGACTGCATATGAATTTCAAAATATTCTTCTTTAAATCCGAAAAAGTTCTGAAGCTAAGATTATCTGAAATTTAGAGCCAAAGGATTGTAATCAGTTAATCCGGAAGTCTTTTTCATAGTCATTGTTTACGAAAAGTGTTTAGAAAAAATGTACTTTTAAAAAGTGAATTCGAGTGTTACACAGGTGATTCGCGAACAATCCGTTACGGACTCTCCGCGTTCGCGCGCGGTTGAAATAGGAATCGTATGCGGACCGTACGCGAACCGTTTCCAGCAAAACACATCACATTATAACGGGTTTCTCCGTATTCTGTCCGTTCGCGAACTCCGTATCCGATCCGACCGCGAATGATGAACGAACGGATCCGTACGCCAAGCTGAATTCAATTTGAGATCGCGAACG